GTGCAGCGTACTATTAGCCCGTAAACAGCCAAAACGAGAGAGCTCTGAATTTTGTTTGCACTGCCTCTCTGATCATAAAACAGGCAGGTAAATTCAGGCAAAAAAGTAGATGCGCGTACCAAGATTTTCAAGTAGCGATATTTACCATTGACTAGTTTGTAGATGTACCTCTGCGTACTATTGTAAGCTCAATGCATGCTTATACGCCACAGTTCCGAAACGGCGATATTCTGTAAAGATATTACCGAAAGGTATATGAACTTTTCAATAAGTTGCGACTAGTATTCTTGAGAATATTGTTATAGAAACGTATCTAACTACCTGCAATTGCTAGGTAATAACGACGCTGTAGGCATTCCAAAACTCTCTTTCTGTGTGAGTGAAAGATCGATGTACAGCAATGATACAAAGCAGTTTACCGCATGTTAGGCAACGACACTCATGTATCTTGTTTACGAATTCAGTAAACAGCAGTAATGATATACGTTTCTTTTGTACCCACACCTGTTAAATAAGAGAAAAAACAGCAATGCATTCTTCCAGTAGTGTGAAGCACTATGACAATTACGTAGCGTTGTTCGAACGTGCGAATTTGTAAATACGCTGGTTTAAATACTCCTCGTAGTACCGTGCTTGGGGAAAGAAATTTTCGAGAAAAGTTCACCTAGATGCACGCTTCAGTGAGGTTTTGGGATGCACTATTGCAACTCGCCGTTATCTGCACAGGACACAAGACACTCATTGAGGGGTTGGTGGGTTCACAATCTCTGCCTTCGTACGCCTGGCGTAAAACTGGCAACAATGAATTTTTTTTCTATCAGCGCCATAATAAGGAATCGTTATCTGTTGAGCAAATGAATTCTTTTAACTCCTCAGTTGCATGTTCGCCTCTAACAATACTTTTGACAGCACAGGCACATCTGGATATTTTGCCACCATCTGTTTGAAGTGGCGAAAGTTACTCGAGCGTTCACAACAGTTTCTCGGGTTGAAAAACTTTTGGCATAGAGCCAATGAAGAAGATTTTATCCAAATCATTCTCACACAGGAATCATTGCTTACACCGGGCTTTTAGATGCGGAGCATCTTATACTCGCGCCTTGTAGTGCGCCGTCCGCACCGCTTCTCGAACATTCGACAGCTGACGCGCGCGCATGCGCCGTCGCGCCGTCGCCCACTCTTCCACCATCTGTGCATCCCTTCCTCCTCTACACACCGCGCGCGCTTCACTCCTCCACCATCTGTGCACCCTTCCTCCTCTACACACCGCGTTCGACATCTACAATTCTCCTGATTCTCCAGTGGACGCGCATGTGGCGTCGCGCTTCGAGAACATTCAACAGCTGACAGTGCATGCGCCGTCGTGCTGTATATATACTCAAGGTCGGCGCTCGCTCACTCAGTTGCCGCTCGTCGGTTGGTTTGTACGGCGCGTCGACGTCCAAGGTCGCGGTGAAATGAATTCCAACGAATCCACAAACACAATGATCGACGTCCCTTCGACCAGCGCCGCCCTTTCGCATACGTGTGTACGTGTTCACTCATTTAACACCCCCTCCTACAACCACGTTAACCAATTTAGCCATCGACCCAAGTAAGTCGCAATTTAACACCCCATTTCACAACCACGTTAACCAATTTAGCCATCGACCCAAGTAAGTCGCACTTTAACACCCCGTTAACCAATTATATGGTCCGCATCCTCCTCAGTGTTCCCCCGGGGGAAGTTGCGGGCAATTTTTTTTATGTGCTTCTTCTGATAGCCATGGAGCGCTAAGCGCTTGCTTTGAACAATGCCACACTGACAAATTTCAGAGAAGTACAAGAAGCACCTACATACTATTACAGGCTGCAGTAGATTACAGCCAGGAGCCGACGACACACAAGGCGAACGTAACAGCCATTATGTTCTTGAGTCCTTCGTCTTTCTGGAGCATCCTGTGTTTGTTGTTTTATTTTTTTATTATTATTTCTATTTTTTAAAATATTCAGTGCAGTTGGGCTACAAAATCACCACCTGTAGCTCCACGAGACATCTGGCTTATCGGATTATCGGCAAGTGATGAGCAGTCATAAAAACTTAGGGGCTGAAGATGATCATAGTCTCAGTTTGCGTGTGAAACATGGGCTCGCACAGACGCAATACGTTGGACTGTGGCATTGTGAAGCGAATATTCCAGCATACTGAGTTGCCGGAAGCCGTATTGAGGTTCCGGAAACTTGTGTGAGAAAATTCAGTAATTGATCATTTTTAAGAGCAACCCTTTTTTTCTGTCAACCTACCGTTTTGTAGACACAAGATAACACAGACAAAACCCCGAAATCTCTGTCATATAGGCTGGTGGTGCTTCTGCTGCATCACAGCGCTGGAGGTTACAGAAGTAGCTATAGAAAAATCAGTAAAGGCTGGTGTCGTGACTGCACATAAGCTTCGACGTTTGTCTGCTGTTTGGATAGATAGATAGATAGATAGATAGATAGATAGATAGATAGATAGATAGATAGATAGATAGATAGATAGATAGATAGATAGATAGATAGATAGATAGATAGATAGATAGAAACTGTCGGGGGGCTTTGGTTCACTAAGAAATGAATCACATTTAGTAGGCCCAAGAACACGACCTTGCGTACCTGCTGCGGGAAAACCACGATGTTAGAATATGTTAGGTGTTAGAATACTCTGCGCACCAGTGGTGCCACAGTATGTTTCGTTGGCTGAACATACGTGGCTGTGACTGAACATACGTGGCTGTGAGCCATTAGATGGCGCCATGGTCAACTGACCCAGCGATGAGGCGCTGGCAACTTGAAATTTCTCTGCCCCCCCCCCCCTCCCCCGCCACTTTTGTTTTAATTGGTATTAGGAATGCCAAAAAAAATCAAGAGAAATTTGTTTTCACTTTAAAATGAAAAGTGTACCTTGCTTAAGAAAAAAAAAATATTGGCATGAAACTGCCTTACACAGATTGTGAATGTCGCGGAAAGAGATGAATAGAGCTGTACTCGAAACCCACCAATTACCATTCTCGCGAAGTAGTGCTTTCGTTTTTTGCAGGTTTTTAATCAGAAAAAAAAGTTAAAAATCAACCAACGCACTATCCCTTGATTAAAATATATGCGGTCACGGCGAGTGCACTTAGGTGGGGGCTAAACAACCGCGTGCTTAGATAAAATGTATGTGAGGTCAATGAATGGAATCCCGGCGTGGCTACTGCATTTTCGATGGAGATGAAAATGCTTGAGTCCCGTCTACTTATAGATTTATATGAACGTCATTGAATACCGGATGGCCTAAATGTTCAGAGCCCTCCACTGCAGCCTCTTTGATAATCACACGCTGTTTTGATACTTCGATTGATATGTGGCGTTTAACGTCCCAAAACTGCCATATGGTTATGAGAGACGCCATAGTGGCGTATTCCGGAGATTTAGACCACGTGGGGTTCTTCACGGTGCATTTAAATGTGAGTACATGGGCCTACAGAGTTTCCGCCTCTATCGGAAATGCAGCCATGTAAGCCCGGATTCAATCCCGCGACCTACGGGTCAGCAGCCGAGTACATTAGCCACTAGACCACCGCGTCGGGGCGCTGTTTTGATACTTCAAAGCACACAAATAAAATAATAATAATAATAATAGATTACATGTAGGTGCACATTAGACAACTACGGATGGTCAGAATCACTCAGGAGCCCTCCATTAAGACGTCCATCACCAAAAAATTATAACTGTACAGCCTACGCCGCCCAAATACTTCGCAAATATTATTATCTTTCAATTGGAATAATAGTTAGGATATTTTGTAGTATACACTAAAATATATTGAAGCATTCTAAATATCGACAAGACAACTTTACTGCATCGCCCCGCCGCGGTTCTAGTGGCTAAGGTACTCGGCTGCTGACCCGCAGGGCGCGGGTTCGAATCCCGGCTGCGACGGCTGCATTTCTGATGGAGGCGGAAATGTTGTAGGCCCGTGTGCTCAGATTTGGGTGCACGTTAAAGAACCTCAGGTGGTCTAAATTTCCGTAGCCCTCCACTACGGCGTCTCTCATAATCATAGAGTGGTTTTGGGACGTTAAACCCCACATATCAATCAATCAATCAACTTTACTGCATCGCATCACAGGCGTGTCCACTGGGAGGAAGGCAGCAGGAGGGGTGTAGCCGAAGCATTAAGCCACATCAAAAAGGGGAGGGGCAAATAATGTGCCATGACCCCCACCCTCTGACGAGGAACCATGAACCCGCATGTGCAACGCATGGATGTTGTTTACTTCCTGACGACGTCGTTTTGATGCTTGCACAACAAGTGGTTTGCTCTTCCGGGCTGGTTTTCTTGGTTTACTCGGCCGTCTGAAATGTTTAGAACTGTTCCTAAATTAGGTGCGAATGACATTCATAGATAAAACTTGCCTCTGTGGAACGTTAAGTAGAACCGATCCCTCCACGTAGTATGTGGTTAAAATCATTTCCATTGAAAAATATTTAGCGCAAACATGGTGCGTAGACCCAACTGGGTCTGGCGTCAGAATTGCAAGGCGCCGCTGCTCCAGGTAGTCACTGTCGGACGGCACCTTAAACAGAGGCACAAGCTTCACACAAGTCCAATAGCCAAAATGAGAGTTTGGCACAAAACACATTGTACTCATTTGACAAACCTCTCTGCCATTGGATGCCATCTTGGTCAATAGAAGATCTTAAAACGCACGTAAACAAAAAAGCTGACATCAAAACAGCATGGTCGCGCATATCAGCAAAAAGACGCAGAATCAGTGGTTCGCACGTTGCTGACGAAACACCTGGCGCCACTTTTCCTAGCGTCCTAAAAAGGCACTGACAAAGCGGCACGAAAACTGATAACGTCCGGAGTGTAATCTTGACGCTAGGGATTCGTTATTGCACTTTTAACACCTGTGGGGTATATTATCGCCACCTGTTCATGTATATATTCTTACATCGCGGGGAAAACTGCTGTGTGTAAGGTAAAGGTGAAGTTCCCTCAGTAGCAACCACAAGTGCCTTCCACTACGTCTATCTCAATATGCCTCGTCCCCTAACACCCTTACTTTTCGTAAGGATGTTAGGGGGCGACGCACAAGAAATTGCATAAGAGACTCCATGGATGGCCCACATAGAAAAGAACAGGAGTCGTCATCACAGATAGCAACGATGCACGATAATCTTCCACGTGCCGACTAAAGAAACTGCGATAACCCTGGAAGCCTGTATCCAAGCATCACGGACACAGAAAACACTGCCCTGTCTGCCGTTGTCAGGTTAGCAAACACTTCCCTTCTAATCTGTTCGTATATAAATCTGGATTAAAATTTATTTTTGGGCAGTTCTCACACAGAGACCAAATTCCTCTGTGTGTTTGAGATAACTCTAGTCGCTCTATTGGGAAGGAATTTTAACTTGTCGTCTGAAACAATTACAAGTGGTAAATGACCGATTGACAAAAAGAACTAAACATTATTCTTCGCTACAGCTACTTCATGGTTTGACGAATCCCTTCATGGAAGGATATATTAGAAAAAAATTCATGTACGCACAAAAAAGCAAACGAATAGCGTCATCACCTGACCAGGCCAACGCCCTTATAGTTTCCTACATAGCGTTTCCAACAATATTACCTAGAGCAAAATCTGGCACTGCGATTCCTCAGAACTCCCTCATGAGAATTATGGGAAGTACATGCTTCAGATTAAGTTGCGCTGGCTAGCGAAGTATCCACGGATTCTTTTCAACAGTTTCAGTTTCGTGCTTCCGTAGCGGGGTTATAGTGGGGTGCAGTGCAAAGCACTGAAGTAGCCCCATTGTTGTTCAAAGAGGCTGAAGACTACTAAGGCTCAGATTTTCTGCGGCTTCAGAGCTTCACCACTCGTATTTGACAGTTTAAGCAAAGCGTCGTCCACTCACTGCTGTGCATAGATATACCGTCTCATGTCAGAACGGAATATTACATTGAGTTTACTTTTTTCTCAAGTGCGTCTTGCCAAAAATACTTTAAATCGACTGCATAAGGACAACGAAGCTAAGTAGACGGACTTTCACCCTTCTTTTACTTGACTTCACAACAAAACGAGATGTGCGTTGGTAGAAGACCACTTGTACAGACGCACCTGGCAATGCAGCTGACAAATGTTTAATGTTTCTCATTTTATCCTGTACGGTCATTTCCACAAATAGATAATGCGTTCTTTTAAGAGCAAAACAAGAATGTTTGTCTTCAAATGTAAAAAATAATTAATTATTTTTAATTACTGAATCTCGAACGCAGTGACAGACATATGCATACCTTAGTGGGTATACTTGTCCAGGTTTCACTTGTACCGCATGACCACCAAAACGTTTTGCGATAAAGTTTACGTACAAAATACTAAATTAAGTTTATTTTAAATATAACTTCATATCGCTTTGCTTTACACTAGCCAAACAAGCGTCGAAAATCTCGAGAACGCCATCCACCGGAATCAGATCCTAAGTCTGTATTTCCCTTAATTCTCGTGGGGGTACAAGCACCTCTGAGGAATAACGCGTAGACACTAGCTCTTTATTACACGGTAGGTGCTGAAGTATTGTATGTCCTTCTTCTTCTTTTTGCTGCACTGCTAATAGCACATTACCTTTCTTTTTTGGACTCGCATCTTTCTACAAGTCTGGGCAAAGCATCAATCACAAATGTTCTGCACAACGAAACTTGTAATTTTTACAGCTCGGTAGCCTACTACATTTTATGTGGCCTTTTGCAGCTCATGCCCATCGTTTCTTTGCGTCTATCCTAAGTCAACTGCAGTACGAAGTAATCTTTCAATGATGCCTGGTTGTCCATTGCGTGAGTTAGTGATTCTACTTTGTCCCTCCAGCCCTTTCCATTTAGTCGCAATCACCTATAACCACTTGCCATCCTCGTCGTGCTTCCCGTATACCTTGGTATCCTTTTTCACGTTCCAAATGGCTATTTGCTATGTTTCGTTCATATGACGTAACGTGCTCACGTGCCCAGTTACATTTTTCCCCATATCATCATATATGAAGTATCGGCTACTCCTGTTTTTCTGATCCACACCCTATATTTTTATCTCTCAGCGTTGTCTTTATTGTTTTTGTTCTATGACGCCGTCTGTGATGCCTTGCTTCTATGTTCTATGTTGCTTTTGAAAGATAACCCCGTACTTTAGCACATGGAAAACTAAATACTTCATCTTTGTGCATCAGTTTTAGGTTCCCCATCTTGAGTTCAGAACTTGTACGCACGTGCACCAGCCCAGCGTTTTTTTATGTTAGTCTTCCTTACTTGAAATGACACTGCTGTTAATATTTAGCTTACACATAGCCTTCATGCACCTCCAAAGTGCCGATAACGTCCTTCGTACCGTAACTTTATTTTGAAAAAGACATGCGTTTAGATACTTTGATGCAGGTTCAACAAATACCACGTGATAAGGAATACATTGCGTTATGAAGTGAAATATCATACTTAAGGAATGAGATTTGATGAAACGGAACGGAACGAGGTTCACTGCAGTGGGGCTTGTAGACTATAGCAAGAATTAAAATTTACCCAGCATTGTATCGGGGTCGAGATTTGCATTTACCATCTTAACGTCTGGTTGTGTCCCCTCATGTGCATGTAGTAATGCGCATTTTGCGACGACAGACCAAGCAACTTGTGAAGCTGTTAGCCTTTATATCAAGCTTCCTTTTCGTCGTGCCTCTTTAGCCTACATATAACTGAGGAGGCCACTCACCTATCTTCTCGTCCATAACACCGAACAAATGTTATATTCTCACTCGCCCGCTTTCGCTAGCTCCCAGCGCTGTGAAAAAGTGGAAGAAACTGCTATACCGGTATTTACTGTATTTACATTCCAGTATAATAAAGATGAATCGAACGTCAAGGAAATTATGTTTTTTTTTTCAACGACGCTTCAGTTCGGTATGTGCGTCACAGGACTAAACCGGATGCTCGAAGTTATACACACTTACGATGATACCACAGCATGCCGGTGTGATGGTACTTAAAGTTCATAGCTTAGAAAAAAAAAACTATTCGATGAGCCATTACACGGGCAGGTGGAAATGAGTGAATAAAATACTAATAAATAGCACACACGCATTACAGCTGTTGATTGATTGATATGTGAGGTTTAAAGTCACAAAACTACCATTTGTTAATGGAAGACGCCGTAGTGGAAGGCTCCGGAAATTTCGACAACCTGGGGATTTTTAACGAGCAGATTACAGCAGTTGAATTACGATAGATTTATGTATGGCTCCCAATAACGAGCACAGAGCATTTAGTTGTACTAATGGTGAACATGAATGCAAAGAGGCAAAATTGCAATCGAGGATAAGGTAATGATTGACATGCTGACAGATGGCTGAGAAATTGTGTTAGAAAAACTGGCCACATCCATATGAAGTGTATCTTGATGGGAAGAGCACCAGGATCCTCGAAGAACGCAACATCATTTTAATGCATAAGAAAGGAGACACCAAGGACTTGAAAAATACAGGCCGATCAGCTTACTGAACGCTCACTACAAACCATATACAAAAATAATTGCTAATTAAATAAAGGATACATTAAAGTTCCAAAAAAGTTATGACAAAGCAGATTTTCTACAAGGCTACTTTACAATAGACATTATTCGTAATATTACTCAGGCATTAGAGAAATGCGTGGAATACAACCAGCCCCTATACATCGCTTTCATGGATTGCGTCAGGCCGTTTGACTCAGTCGATACATCAGCAGTAATGCTGGGACTAATAAATCAAGGCATCGACGAACGCAACATAAACATACTGCAAGTAATCTAAAGCGGATTCGTAGTCACTATAGTTCCCCATAAAGAAAGCGACAGTCTCAATAAAGAAGGGTGTAGGGCAGAAAGACGCGATCTCTCTAATGCTATTCACCACGTGTTTAAAGCAGGATTTCGGGCCCTATAGGTTGGGAAGAGATAAAGATAAGAGTTAATGAAGCGTATCTTAGTAACCCGTGATTCACTGATGACATGGACTTGATGACTAACTCGATCAGGGGAGGAATTACAGTTCATGAATACAGAACCATGCACAGAAATCAGAAAAGGAGGATTGGAAATTAATAGCCAGAAGTATGAGCAAAGTATTGAGCAACAGCCTCGACAAAAAATAGCCCTTTTGCGATAGATGAGAGATACGCTGGTGTTTTTAAGGGATATGTCTACTTAGGACAGGTCGTAACTGCGGGGCTGAGGCATGACCGTGCAATAACTAATAGAATAAGGATGGGCTTGATCGAATTCGGCAAGCATTCTCAAATCATGGATGGTAGTCTGCCGCTAACCCTCAGTATGAATGCATATAACAGCTGCATCTTGCCGGGACTTACCGGTACTTACCAACGGGATAGAAACCTCGCATCATACAAAGAAGTTTCAGCTTAATTGAGGACGACGCAGCGAGTCATCGAAAATAAAATTATAGGAGCAACCTTAAGAGAAATGAAGAAAGCAGAGTGGGTGAGGTAACCAAAGACACTAAAGATATCATAGTTGAAATCAAAAAGAAATGGACATGGGCCGGGCACCTAGTGCCCAGGAAGGATAAGCACTGGTTTTTAAGGCTAGCTGACCGAATTTCGAGGTGAGGCAAGTGGTTGAGAGGGAGACAGAAAAATAGGTACCAAGACGAGATTAGCAAGTTTTCGGGTCTAATGCGGCAGCAGCAAGCATACGACCGAGTTAACTGGCGGAACATGGGAAATACCTCTGTCCTGCAGTGAGCGTAGTCAGGATGATGAGTGATGATGATGATATATGTGAACCTACAAAGGGCAGGAGAAATATACAGACACACAAACACATCGCGGCAGCTAAATTTGAACTCGCGGCCTCAATAACTCAAGGCAGATGCTCCAGTTATGTGCTACACAAGGGGTTTTTCGTTCGCTTTGCATCATGCAAAAAAAAAGCTCGTGAATGTGCCTTGGGTGCGTACAAATGACTGTATGGTTGGCGCACTGTCCAGAATGTTGACGGCTTAGCAAAGAAATTTAACTTGCTCAAGTAAGTAATGGTTCCTGTGTGAAATGGCTCGCTTTTTCAACTTTCTTGGGCTGTGGTGGATTCATCTTCAATGCGAAGGCGGATGGAGCGAAAACGCTTCATCAACGATACGTTGCGGTGGGCTAGTTGTGCGACATCTCGGTGTTGTCTCGTTACCACTCTTAGCCATAGAATGATAGAAAGTAAACCTAAAATTCAATATATCTTGTAATATACTG